TCCTCAGTCTCACACTGTGGCCCAGACTGGCCTGAACTCACTTATGTAGTCCAAACTGACCTAGAAACCATGACGTCCTCTGCCTCAACCTCTGTGTACAAACCATGCCCAGCCCTGGATCTCTTTTCCTGTTACTTTCTCAGCCTGGTGGTTCCTGGCATTTTGACTTTTCATCTCGACCGTGGGCTTCTTAGTGTGCCCTCCCTTCGGTGGGCTGATGGGCCTCCTTACCCTTCCTTTCACTGAGAGTGTAATCCTTCTGATGTTTCCTCCTGTACCCCGCCCCTGTAGCCCTTGGGAGGCCCTGCAAGTGGCAAGATTGATGTTCCCCTCCCTGGCCTCACAGGAGCTGAGGGTTCCCCTTTCATCTCCACTGTAGGTGTGACGCTTAAGCCCTAAGTCATTGGGTCTGCTGCACATCTCCGCCTCCACTTCCGGGGGCGGGGGGCGGCGACAGCAGCTCCAGCACCTGGCCCTCTGGAGCCAGCTTCTATTCCGTGCAGATAGTCATAGTCATTTGTTGTAGAAGGGCTCTTCCACTGTCTTCCCAGAGTTGGAATTCTGTCATTGGTTTTAATAATATATTTTATGTAGTTTAAATTTTAAGTAAGCTTTTTATTCTCTCTGTATAATCTTTGATGTGCTAGATTTTATATATACACTGTTTTATTCTTGATTTATGCCTTTAAGATGATTGTGCTTTATTATAAGGATGATTGTGCTTTATTTCTGGATTTATTAACTCATTTGAATTTTAAGTTTGGGTAAAAAGTGAATAAGGTTAAAAGACTTGTGGGACTTCTTGGCTGTGACTTACGGAGGTACTCTGTGATCCCTGCTTGCTCCTTTCTCTACCTAGATTCTCTGTCTGGTCAACGTTAGTCACAATGGTGTGAGTGAGTCCGAGCTGATGGAGCTCTACCCTGAGATGTCCTGGGCCACCCTGACCTCCAAAATGCGTTTGCTGACTTACGGCTGTGGCTTGCTCAGGTTTCAACATCTGCAGGTTAATGTCATTTCAAGCATCTCTTAATAGGGTTTTTACTTATAAATGTCACTATAACTTTCCATGTTATTCTGTGTTATGCTAAGCAAAATCAAAGTATCAAATTTGGCATTATAGGTCTGGTTTTTTCACTAAGCATATGTAGTACCTTCATGAGGCAGCTATAGGGTGGCACCTAACATGCCTTAGTTCTAGAGATCTGCTGTAAAATATTGTCCTGTGGTTAAAATACTGTATTGTATACATAAAATTTTATTAAGAGGTGCTAGGCCTAGTGGCACATGCCTACGATTATCCCAGTACTTGCACGATGGAGGCAGGGAAGATCATGAGTTCAAGACTAGCCTCTGCTCTATAGGAAATTTAAGACCAGACTGGGCTATGTGAGATACTATCTTTTTAAAAATCCACAAAATTTAAGGAAGAGTTATATATGGACTGGAGAGATGGCTCAGCAGTTAAGAGCACTGGCTGTTCTTACAGAACACCCAGGTGCAGTTCCCAGCACCCACATGGTGGCTAACACTGTTTTTAACTCCAGTTCCAGGGGATGTGAAGCCCTCTTCTGGCCTCCATGAGCATTGCACTTACAAACAAGCAGGCAAAATATTCATTAAAAAAATAACTTTTTTTAAAAAAAGAGGCATTAGGTATGGTGACACATGCCTGTACTCTCAAGAGGGTTTGACAGGAGTTTTGAAATCTGAGGCCAGATTAACCTTATAACAAGACTGTCTCAAAAACCAAAAATGGCTGGGCCTGGTGGTACATGACTTTAATTCCAGCACTTGAGGCAGAGGCAGGCAGATCTCTGTGAGTTTGAGGGCAGCCTGGTCTATGTAGTGGGTTTCAGACCAGCCAGGGCTATGCAGTGAGACCTTATCTCAAAAAAAAAAAGTCTGTGTGGGGGTCGCGGGGGAGTTCTCATGATCCATGGTACACAGGTGGCCTCAAACTTACCGTGGAGCCTGGACCAGCCTCAAGCACGCACTCTTCCTGTCTCCGCCTCTGTGTGCTGGATTATAGGCCGTAGCACCACGCCTGGCTTTCTGAGATTTAAAAAAAATACATTAACAAAAGTTTGAATTAAATTGTGCTTTGAGTCCTTAAATATTAGTACAAGAATTTTTACACTGAAATAACTCATCACATGAGTATATAGTGGATTTTGAAGGAGTCTAGTGCCATTTCTACTATATAACTATAAAAGTGAAATAATCATACTTTTTTACAAACTCATTTTCAGATGTATAATGACTCAAAGTCAAATGAAACATTTTTCCTTCTCTCCGCAGGCATGGGAAACAGTGAGACGGGAGTACATGGAGGACCCCACTGTCGTTTCTTCATACAGGCAAAAGCTGATTAGCTATTTCACCTCACAGCTAAGGTATCAGAAGCATTCCTGCTGTTCTGACACACTTTCCCTTTGTGCCCATCCTTCTCTTTCTTAGCTTATAAGTTAAAGTGTAAACTGCAACCAGGCCTGGTGGCACAGGCCTATCATCCCAGTTACTAGGGAGACTGGGCAGAAGGATCAGAAGTTTAAAGTCTGCCTGTGCTACACAGTGAGTTCAAGACTAGCCTGCATAGCTCAAACTTTTTTAAAAAGTTAAAGGCTGGCAATGTAGCTCAGTAGTAGAGCACCTGTCTATCCTGTGCAAAACCCTATATTCAATCCTTAGTACTGAAAAAAAGGTAACACTGTAATTATTACATTAAGAATTGATAATTTCCTCATTCTGTATTGATGTCAAGAAGAACAAAAGACCACTTTGGGGGGAATATTTTACTGTTATGTTAAAGGTTAAACCTTAAATGAAATTGATGCAAGACTGTGTTACTATCTTTATTTTTATTCTGCTTAAGTAGTTTAAAATACATGTTCATCACACACATGCAACCTCACACAGGTACATACATATGCATGCAAATACACATAACAATGTGTGTGCATGTATCTCAGTGTGTAAATATCCAGGGCTTTTGAAAGTTTTCTAAATGTTTCAAGATTAGGGGAGTACTTCTGGAGTGCGAATTTTTAATGTTCTAGGGAGCAAGTCTCTTGACACCTTTCATCCTCCTCATGAAGTGTTCAGTCTTCCTCATGAGAACCTGGGGAAGGTATGTTGGTGGTCCAAGCTCACTGATTTCTCTTCA